TTAAATATACAAGTTTGATAAAAATCATCATTAAAGAAGAAAATTTCAAATGGCATTTAGAGGCTTTTGCATCTGAACTCTTCATATGGTACCAATAAATCGTGCATCCCTTAAGAAAAGAGACGGACGACATAGTCTACGCAAACGTGAATTCTTGGTCACTTCCGCGCGGATATGAAACCTAAACAGAGAGATGCAGGAGGGTACTTCACTAAAGGTGTCACGACTAGCCTGGTATTTACAAGACAGCGAATTCCCTTTTTTAGTATTGGAAGTAAAGCACAAAGCTCATTCGACAAACTGTTTTTGTGTCTAACGCAGCTCATAATGTGAGATTTGTTAGGAAACTGTTGCAGCTGGAACACTTGTTGGCAATAGACGCCTCCGGGGAGCTTTATCCCTCCGGGCAGCCTCCAACACACACCCGCCCTTCACTCTTCAGTGTATTCTGCTCCGTCACACACACACACACACACACACAGAGTCAGCAGCGAGAGAACAACAGGGCCGGACAAGTGTAGCAGCAGCTGCTGGTTGGGCTCAGATTACAGATAAAGACGTTAAGAGTGTTTCCTTCTCTTCTCCGGCACAGATTTCCAAACACACACGTGGTTCACACCATGAGACTCTTCTACTTCCTACTATAGTACGATTCAGATAACCTTATAAACTAGGCTGAGAGATAGTAAGACGTTTGTCTTCCCAACATCACTCTTACCTTTTGTGGCTGGCGACGAGGTTCATTGGATCTGATCAAAATCTGATGGGTGGGTCAATCAAAATCCGAGACTGTGATTGGTTCAAGCTTCAAGCATGTGTTCACATGATCGTTGCAGCGGTTCAAGTCTGAACATGCCTATGTGGATATACGTGGGCAAACATCCATAAACCTGCCATTCGCTCTGGTTGGTTTCTCTTTTTTAGATCGTTGGCTTTGATGGTCTACACACTGTTTATGGGCCACACACCAGGAACTGGATATCACAAAACCTATGGGTGGCCAACCAGTCGATCAACCTAGTTTGACTACAACCAGGGGCGGAGTGGGACCAAAAAATCTACCGGGAAATTTCGTACACCACCGGCACGATTTTAATAGCCGATAGCATTTACAGTTTTACTGGTTTAAAAGGAACTTTGTTGTATTATGCTGGAGTAAAGTTCATAAATGGTCGTTCTTTCCCATAGTAATTCCTAAAACTATGTTGGGTGGACGGCGCATGCTCCCGCGCAAGAAAATTTTGGACATTTTAAGGTTATAATGCATCGATCTCGTGCTCTCTGAGAGATCGAAATTAAGACCCATGAACTGCTCGTTGAACAAAGAAAAAACATTAATTTGTACCAGGACAATAAACAGGGCTCAAACATCTTTTTAGCTATGAGAGTCTCAGTCTGCATTACATTATCAATGGTGTTTTAGGATGCCAAACAATTATTATAAAAATGTAATAATGATTTATAATTATTCCTATGACGTACTGTAAAATCCATTTATAGCCTATAAATGTACTGTGTAAATGAAAATGAGTATTTCAAAAGTATATTTTAACCTACATTACACTATAATATAGGAAAATTAAAATACTTTTGTCCTAATTTCTTCACTTGCAAGAAATAAACCCTTGAGCTTTTATTTAGGAGAAAACACCAGATGATCACGTGAGCAAAGTAATCACGCAGCACAAACTGGATGCTATTCTAATGTCAGTTATTATAATGGCGCAATGCCATATATATTCATGGTTTCAATTTTAGTTCGTTGGCAAAATATAACGCTAGAGACCTTAAAGGGTTAATTCACCCAAAAATGAAAATTTTGTCAGTATTTACTCACCCTCATGTTGTTCCAACCCCGTAAGACCTTCGTTCATCTTCGCGACACAAATTAAGATATTTAAGATATTAAGATCGCTCCTGCATACAGTCCATAGGCTTCTTGAGGGACTGGCTCTTGCTGTCCTCGAAAAGTCATTAAAGACATCGTTAAAATAGTCCAAGTGGCTACAGGAGCTCAATCTTAAGTTTATCAAACGACGAGAACACTTTTGTGCGCAAAAAAACAACAAAAATAACGACTTTATTTCAACTATTCACTTCCTCTAAAAAAGTAATTCATTACTAGTTACTAATTACCTCTTCAACAATGTAATTAGATTACTGTACGAATTACTCTCTCTAAAATGTATTTAATTACTTTTAATTACTAATTACTTTCAAAATCCCATATCAGTCTCAACCAGCTGAATAATACAAGCATAGACATGAATCTGTTTTAATTCTTTCAAATAAATGCTTATTAAATACATATTTTACAATAATTCATCGGTCATAATATTTAGACGCCTCATAAAATGCATGCGAATCGCTGTGAGATCGGATTGATCTATTTACCTCAATTACATCAGAAGTAACTGTAATTAAATTACTGATAAATGAAGAGTAATCCCTTACTTTCCATTTTCAAGGGAAAAGTAATTAAATTACAGTAGCTAATTACTTAGTAATACGTTACACCCAACACTGCACATAACCAGTTTCATTTCTTCATTCTGTCAGCCGCGACGTCGCAGAAATAGGAAGCGTTTCTAAATTAGAAACTTCGCGTGTCGCCGTCGCGTCTGGTTAGGACAAAAACTCTGATTAACATAAAAAGATACTTTTATCGCGTGTAGTTAGGACACGGTGTAATACTTTCTCTTGGTTCGTCTCAGTCTGAATTCGTTTTGATATAAGTCGCACCTGACTATAAGTCGCAGGACCAGCCAAACTATGGAAAAAAGTGTGACCGCCATTTACAAATAAAGGTAAAACAACAATGTCCGGGTGATTTTGAAGTTGGAGGAGAAAATGAGATGGAGTTACTCTACATTATGTGACCTTTCCAAAGTTATTAATTAATGCGCTAGAATGCATGACCAAGCTTGTGTAGCTAGTAATATCAGCCTACACATACTTGCATAGAGTAGTTCAGAGCCGTAGATGTGATCTTAACCCAGTTTAATAGGATTAAATCAAGTCTTGCAGGACTTCCAGCACATAATGTACGCTATTATATAAAGTCAGGGAACTAGCCGAGATGCATCACTTCAACTTCCTTCCAGTGCGATATGCTTGTATGAGAGAGTAAACACTTTCGGTCGCAACACATCTCTCTTGGTTTGTATCTCTTTCTTCAACTCTCCATCTCCCCGCCACACTCATTCACCCGCTTTCGTTCTTTCCTTCTCTGCATTTAGCTCTAATAAATTCTACCCTTCTCCTCCAACAACTTCCTCTTACTTCCTTTCTGGCTCGGCACTCAGGAAACAATCACTGTTGAAGAGTCTGGTCTGTGTGTGTGTGTGTGAGAGAGAGAGAGAAATAGGGAGAGAGAGAGATAGTGAGATAGTGAGAGAGAGAGAGAGTGAGCGAGATAGTAAGAGAGAGAGAGATACTGAGAGAGATACTGAGATAGTAGGTGTGTGTGACCTCAGTGTGTTTCCCTAATGTCCACCACAGTGACCCCTAGTAATGTGTGTATATATATATATGTTAAAACACTGTGGTATCAAACGTTCATAGAAATTATAATCTGTTACACTGTTATTTTTTGCAATTAATTTAATTTGTACATTTTAATTTAAGTTGTTATAATACTTTGTTATTATTACCGTCTTCACTATACTATGTGTTACAAGCTTTGGCAATATTGTAAATATGTACAGTCATGCCAATAAAGCAATTTGAATTGAATTGAATAGTGAGATAGTGAGAGAGAGAGAGTGAGAGAGTGAGAGAGAGAGTGAGATAGTGAGAGAGAGATAGTGAGAGAGAGGCCCCGTCCACACTACTGCGTTTTCGTTTAAAAACGGAGACCTTTTGCTACGTTTGCACCTTCCGTCCAGACAAAAACAGGAAAAAAGGAAACGAAGTTTAGAAAAGTTTAGAAGTTTAGGAGAAGTTTAGAAACGCTGCAGCTCCGTTTTGCGTTTTAAATGTCCAGAGGGCGTTTTAGTGTGGACGGTAGGTGTCGTTTTCGTTTTAATTCTCCGTTTTTAAACGAAAACGCAGTAGCGTGGACGGGGCCAGAGATAGTGAGAGAGAGAGAGAGTGAGAGACAGAGGGAGAGAGTTCATACAACATTCATACACATGTATATAATGTTCAATATTGTTTTTTTTTATATAGATGGTTTCTAAATGCTTTTTATTTTATTTGTTAATCTTTGTTTATAATATTATTATTGTTTCATGATATCAGTATTATTATGTTTGTGTACTAAATGTTCTAAATCATTTTCTATGTTGTTTTGATGCTTTGGCAATACAAAATGTTTTTTGTTGTTGTTTTTTTTTTTGCTTTCCGAATCAAAAATTGAGAGAGAGCGCTGCCGATCTGCTCGACAGACGATGAAAGTGTAAAATTACTTAGAAATTTAACGCTTCCTTTTACAGTACAGTACTTGCATAGAAAGTACTGGCTAATATAAGGTAAGTACATGGAACAGGGGTAGGTTTAGGGTTGGTACTAGTTATTACCCAGTAATTGTAGTTACTAAAATAAGTACATAGTATTTACATGGGTAACTGGACTGTAAAAGGAAGCGTTACCAAACACGGTCCCACTTTATATTAAGTGGCTTTAAGTACGATGTACTTACATTGAACAACAAGTACAATGTATTATTGTGTTCCTGTTGTATTGTAAAACACTTTTGCTGCTATTGAGGTGTGATACGGGTAAGGTTAGGGACAGGTGTGGTGGTATGGGTCGGTTAAGGTGTGAGGGGAGGGTCAACTGTGTAATTACATAAATTAATTATAGCTGTAATTACATGCTGGAATTTTAAAATGTAAGAACATGCGTGTACACAATAAGTCCATTGTATCAAATTATTAATTTCAATGCAAGTACATAGTACTAAAAGCCACTTAATATCTTTACACGCACACAAGACCCTGTTGGAAATAACCCTTGACGCATACGAGACAGCTGGACATGAATCTCCTGTATATTACCAGCTCCCGACTCCTGACTTTCGACATTATCCATGGGGGTGACTTTCCAGGACGGCGTCTGCTCTCAGATCTCTCCATATGGTTTACTCCAGTGCTGATTCAGTCAGCAGAGGAAAGACTGACACAAAGAGCGCCGCGTGTGCCAGAAGACTCGCTCGAACGTCTGATTCAGCACTTTCCGAGGAAAAGCGTCAGGCGAATATGTGAAGGAGTGCTCTTGCCTGACTTGGTCATTTAGCGGCTGAGGCAGGGGCTCGTGCCAAACCCCATGAAAACCGAAAAGACACGCATAAGGAGACAAATGCTCACAGGACTCTCGGGATGGCAGAGAGAAAGAGGCTTCATGTGCTTTCGCTATCACGCCAAAAAGATACAATCTACTCAAGTTCATACAAATTATATCTGCAATCTCATTTCTTGAGTACACTGTAAAACCGATTTTCCAAAGTGGTAAATAAAAGAAAGATTAGAGTATGTTTTACGAGAAAACACTAGACTTAAAATGTTTATTTCAATGCGTCACTTGCCATTTATTTGTGAAAAAGGTTTCAAAGTAAATCCAAATGTTTTTTTTAGTATTTTACAAAACTTACCATAGAGGTTTCCAAAACAGACATTGCAAAAGTGTAAAGTATAGAAGATAGCTAGCAAAATAGAAAAATTAATTGGTTTGATCTAAAATGGTAAACAATCTGACTCTAAAAACTCTTCAATAAGCCTCACGATCTTACATCTCATTGACAATTTAAAGAGACGGTTCACTCAAAAATAAAAATCCCATGTGTCATTCCAAACCTGAATGACTGACTTCAGTGGAACGCAAAACATGGAAACTAATTGGGGTCCAAAACGACACTGTATTCCAACCAAATCAATGGGTCCAATGTTGTTTTGCACCATATTTAGTTTTACACAAGACACTCTTCTTTTGTGTACAGGTTTTGAAAGACTTAAAGGAGGAGTTCACTTTTAAAAAAAACTTTTGTTGATAGTTTACTCGCCCCCGTGTCATCCAAGATGTCCATGTCTTTCTTTCTTCAGTCGAAAAGAAATTAAGGTTTTTGATGGAAACTTAACAGGATTTTTCTCCATATAATGGACTTCAATGGGGTCCAAACGGTTCAAGGTCCAAATGAGAGTTTCAGTGCAGCTTCAAAGGGCTTTAAACGACACCAGACGATGAATAAGGGTCTTATCTAGCAAAACGAGCGGCCATTTAAAAAAAAAAAAAAAAAGTTGTATAAGCTCAAATGGTCGCCTTGCTCTGTTCTGATGCACATTTTGTTTGTTGAATGAACCAAATGACACAAAAAAAGATTCGATTTTGATAAACGAGTTCGAACAGGAGAGTCACGAACGCGCATCACAGAACAGAGCAAGGCGAGCATTTGTGCTTATAAAACTTAAACTTTGTTATTTATTTTTGAAATGGCCGCTCGTTTCGCTTGATAAGACCCTTATTCATCGTCTGGTGTCGTTTAAAGCCCTTTGAAGCTGCACTGAAACTCTCTTTTGGACCTTGAGCCGTTTGGACCCCATTGAAGTCCATTATATGGAATGTTTTCATCAAAACCTTAATTTCTTTTCCACTGAAGAAAGAAAGACATGGACATCTTGGATGACATGGGGGTGAGTAAATTATCAGCAAAAGTCATCAGTTCACTGGGTTTTTTTTTTAAAGTGAACTACTCCTTTAAGGGTGAGTAAACGATGATATTTTCATTTTTGTGTGAATTAATCTTTTAGTACTGAAGAAACTAGGGGTGCAAACGGTTAATCAATTATCAATTAATTGTCGACAAAAATTTACTCGCTTAAATTAAAAAAACAAAAATGCTATCCTCGAAAATCCAGCTATATTTATTCTAACAATAACTTAGCTCACCTGTCAACACTCCCGTTTTTCCCGGGTTTCTCCCGGACCCCTTACGGTTTGTTATTTTTTGCGGAAAACTAGTCTGTCTGTCACACGTTCGTACATGGGGTGTTGGCATACACAGCAAAATTAGTGTTCGAGGCACACGACACATACGCGCGCAGCTCTTAAAGGGGCCACACCTTATTTCCACTCGTTAAGTTGTTGTACGTGTTTTTTCAAGTATTTTAATTTTCTGTACATAATTTATTTAGTTAAACTACATAAATGCCATTATCCGTGACGTATCCCAACTGTTACAATAAAACATCAATTGAGCAATATAACATGCATTTTTATTCAGTATATAAGCAATATTTTGCTTTTTATGCTAAATTGATACCGTGAGAAATTTACATTCTCAGGAAAATAGGCGCTTATCAGTTAATCGTTAATCAATTGATAAGCTTGATAAACTAATGATTAGAGCCCGACCGATAAAGGATTCTGAAGGCCGATACCGATACAAATATTTGTTGGTTTTAAAATCCGATATTCCGACCGATATTTTTTATTTTATTTTTTTTCAGGAACGCACAACAAAACATTAACAGATTTCCCCAACATTGGTTATTTGTAGTTATGTATGAGTGAGTTTTAATTAAAATAATATGATAATGCATTTTAAAAAGAAATTTGTTTCTTTTATTGTCGCAACAGAACAGAGGAGGAACCAAAGCTCATTAATTAATTAACAAATCTCATTAAATTCCACTGATGATGGTGGCATTAGCTAGCTTTGTGGTTAGCTAGAATGTGATGCGCGTTATAAACGAGTGTTGCCAACAGGCCACGGACGGTGTAGAGTGCCCTCTGGTGGACAAACTTATACAACTCCAACATGACATGGTTGAAGCGCGTTTCATCCATTTTTATTTTATTTTTGAAATATTCATTTATCGGCCATTATAACTGCCGATACCGATAGTTTTTAAAATCGGCCGATAATAATATCGGTCTGGCTCTACTAATGATTAATGAATATATTGATAATTTGCATCCCTAGAAGAAACCCAAACCCTCTAAGAATGAGCCATACCTGACATTAATTAATATATACATTAAATTATGATGATATGACAAAAAAATGCCAACAATGTTCACTGAAATGATTATCACACTCTGATAACGAAACCATGAAAGATCTTCTAAGCACACAATGTCAAATAAAAGGAATGACGAGGGAAGGCTAAAAAATAAAAAATCAACTTGCCTTCCTTTTTTCAATTCACATTTTTAGATTAGATGCAACTCAGGTGCATGCGAGTGTGTGTGTGGAGCGTATATGACTGCCCCGTGAACCCCGGTGCACTGCCACAAACAGTTGGTTTCAAGAACAACTGGAAAGTTTAGCAACTTCAGACAGACAGAAACAAAGGCTATACTGTTCTAGCCCACGGCTCGCCCCTCCCTCAATCCAAAAACGGCCACGGAGAAGCCAGAAAATCGTATCTGCCAATGTCTCACGCATGTAAACAAGTGTTCATTTTCAGCGCAACGTAAACACGCTTTCATAGGCCGCCTCTCCATCATAATTAATAAAGCATAGCGACACATTCTCGCCACCGGCTCCTTCGACCGCGACGTGGAAAAGGACTTTAATTTGAAAGGGAAAAATTTAATTTCGACCGTATAAAATGTTTCCTTCTGCAAACAAACAGGGAGGTGAGGAGGCCAAACGGCAGGGCATCATGCAAGATGTGCTCTTTCTCTCAAATGCTTGAAAACACACACAGCTAGATATTTGTTCAGAGCTCTGGTAAGTGGTCACCATTTGGAGAGCCACTTCTGCGGCGGGTGCTAAAAGGCCGCTTCAGTCTGGACAAATGGAAAGAGGCTCATTACGCTCTCAGCTGAGCCCTTAACACGAACCAGCTAAAGGAACTGTCAACTGGCCAGCAACATAAACACATATGGCACAAACAATCCGCTCGATCCTTTTAGGAGGATACGCTCGGGGCTTTCTGCATCGAGAACTAAACTTCAGGACTGGTTTGGGTACTGGATTGAAAGCTCAGTGCAAGAACAAACAAATCATTAAAACTGATTTGTTAGCTTATTAAACAGTGAAGCTCTATTTAGCATGGAAGGGCGAATGCCTCGCTCGGCAAAGCTCGACAGTGGAGGGAGTTCGGGGTTAGTTTGTGATGTCTGAAAAAATGAGAACAGCAAACAGAAAATTTGCAGCTGAGAAACAAATGTGGCCCATCGCGGAAGCCATAAAAGGCAACGTGCGTGCGGCATCTGTTTAAATTCACCCCCCCACTAAAAAAAATAAATAAAAGTGTATGTCTTCTTAAAATGCAATGCACAAATGTTTTGCCATTTTGAAAAACATACAATTGTGCATGAACTAATATACAAAATCACTTCCTAAAAAAATAAGTAAATACTAAAGGCAGTGGCGCAAAAAGTGGGTATGCGCTATATGCGGCGCATAGGGGCGCAGCACAATGGGGGGCGCCAAAGCGATGGTAAAAAAAAAAAATAAAAAATTATATATTGGCTGTATTGTATTTCTATATGTAGCTGCTGTTGTCCGTTTCTAAATCATTTCTGCATTCCTTCAATGTTATATAAAATTTTAGAGAACTAACAGCCAGGCGAGAGTAGGCGCCCTCATGGAGAAGGGGGGCGGGTAATATCGCGAGCGGGCGGGGGCGCCGTGAGCTCTGAGCGAGCAGGTACAAGTAGTGAGTTGTCGTCGAAAAAGATGGATAAAACAAAATGCTGTGGGGCTAAAAATAGAAAAAGAAAGAGAGAAAAGGAGATGGCATGTCAATTGACGCGACAGCAGCTAAATAACTGCATGCATTGCTGAAAGCCAACAGGTAGGATTTAAAATGTGACATCCAGGCATAGGCTATATCTCGGTGGCCATCGGGACTACCGGGAGATTCCCGCTGGGCCGACGTGCTTTTCAGCCAATACATTTCATCCTTTTTTAATTTATTTGTCTTAACGGCCCACACAACTCATACATCGGCGGCCCATTTGTTTGTTTGTTGTTTGTTTTTGTTTTGTTTTTTGCTTAATTGGCGGCGCTGTGCTGGTGTAATGCATTGGTCAAAAAAGTCAGCTTTAGTTTTTTTTTCTGACACACTGGCCAATGAAATATGTCATTATGCTATGTCACAAGTATGTCACACAGTATGTCACAAGTATCTTTCAAGTATAGAAATTAGTGCAAAACTAATTATGAAAGTTTTCTTTATTTTTCCGTGCATTTGTTTTACAATAGCCTTTATGGCAATTACTATCATGGGATTAATATTATAACTATTATTATGTAGTAGTGTAATGTAGACAGACACTAACTAAAAGAGGTTCAAATTTTTCTCTGTTTAATTTGCA